TCTTTAAGAAATATCATATTGCATGAACACTAAATCATTAGAAATCATGTTTCTCCATTATTGAAATAAGAGGGAAATTCTAAACCTTACACATGTTCTGAGGGAACTATTGAAGCAGACCAATGGTAAAAGAAACTCAGCAACATAATGACGGTGGCAAATTAAAACCCCAGTATTCGCCTGCAGGCTTTAAATATATTTCCTCTTTTGTTTTTGGATCTTCTTGCCTTCACTCCATCATCATCAACTGCATCAAACTGGTGAAAAATCCCATAACGCCCTTCTGGAATTGAGGGCGATCTCCTCAGAGAAAATGTCTTCCTGACAGCCTTCTCAAGCACTGAATTCTGTTTCTCAGCTCTCAACGCAAGAGAAGCAGAGGATGAAACTGAATAACTTCTCAAAATCACCCCAAACACCTCTCCGTTTTCTTGTTCTTGCTCTGAAAATGAACTCTTTCTATTGTTGTGGTCTTGTTTGATGCTATGATCTGTTACTGTTGCTTTTGGTGATTGCATGTCATGTTTGATTTGCTGTGAGGAAGAATCCATTGATCTAGATTTTAGAATGCTGCTCTGGCTGCTGCTGCTGCTGCTCTGCTTCATCTTTGAGTACTTCCAATATCCTATCATATTGGCTCTATTATGGTGAATGAAAAAGTTCTAGGGCAGAGGCCAGAGAGTGAGAAAACAAATAGTACTATGAAACGTGGGCAGTTCAATGATTGAAGAGTGAAAATGATGCATGCTGGTGTGGTTAAGAAGACCATTTTACATCTATGATAAAACAAGTAAAAGTACCAAAAATATAGAGTTCTGCTGCTTAATCTTCTCTTTGAAAAGATGGGGTTCATGGCTTTTGGCTTGTATATTGGGAAGGAAAACTTGCTCTGGTAATGTTACTCATTAAAACCGAGCAAAAATTACTGGTTTGTGTTGTTTTTGCATCGTTATAGTCAAGAAACGATTCTAAACATTTAATGCAGCTGCACACATTAATTTGATGCTTACATTTTTCTTTTCATAAATGATTCACTCACAATCTTTTTCTCATCTTAAATTTTCATAAATCACGCAATTTGCAATAACTACATTGGCACTTTTCACCGGTTAGATGAGTGAATTAATAGCTTATAAGATAAGACTGTATTTATCAGCTCCATGTTTTCTATCTATGTTTCTGGCTGAAAAGGGCTCCATATGTTTTCTTCTGTTTACTTTCTTGGAGTAATGGTTGACCCAGCGAGCAACTAATAATGAAGGACTCTCTGTACAGTCATTGATTTTCAAAGGAGAAGAAAATTGTGTGTAAATTGAATTTCTTTTCATAGAAAATTTTGGAAAGAGAAAATTTAGATAATGTTTTTATATAGCATATGAATAACAATGTAACTAACGTTCAATTATCTAAAAAAAAAAAAAAAAAGATCAACGCGTTAGCTAAATGATGTTGACATTACCTAAAATCAACATATAAAAAGTCCAGTTCTAGACAAAATATGAGAGAGAGTAATTACTTGGCCAAAACCACAAGGAGTGGGTGTGACTTGAATTTAGTATTTGAGGGTTCCAATCCAAGCTTTCAAGTGTTTAAGCCATGGACTATTAAGACCATTAAGACTAGTTTTGCATAAATTGATTTGGAGTTGATACACATATAGTCTTAGCTCATAATGGGGCTTCATAATAACTACATAATATTAAATATGGTAGATGTGTGTTAATTTACACCAAGACTCTTGTGAGGTAAGAATGTGAAACTGTTTTTTTGGAGTAAAGAGAGTCCGGCTACACATTGAAATGAAACCATCTTATCAAGGCAGCATCATGTTCAGTGGCGGAGCCACATGTAGACCAGGAAGGGCCACGCCCCCCCTGGTCTTTTGAAAAATTTTTAATTAGCACCCTATACTTTTAAAAAAATATAAATAGGACCTTAAGATTTTAAATATAAAATAAGAATTTATTAATTATTTGAGAAATTATTAGATTATATCTCTTGGTTTCATTTTAATTTCAGTTAAATTTGGCTTTAATGGTTAACATAGTATCTCTACAAAAAATTTTTAAAATTACTTTGTATTATTATGTTTCACCTTTCATTTTTCTTTGATAATATTTAAGGAAAAAATAAAATTTTCTTTATTTTGTACATGTAATTGGTTATAGGTGAATGGTAAGTTTTGTTTTTTAGTGTAGAAGACTACTACTTATAAATAATGTGAAATTTTAATTTCTATAATATCTCTGATTGTCATCATAATTTTAATTGGTTATTAAAGAATTATATCATATGGGTTATTTTATCCCCTAACTAAGGATTACACCCTACAAATGACTAGAACTAATTTGGGTACAAATGCAATAATTAATTTCATTGAAAATTATCTAATAGCATGAGATCATAAACTCTAATCATATTTTCATAATACAAATTACTAGAATTTGGTATGTTAATTATTTAAAATATCTTCACTAATAAAAATTTGATTGAATTGGTATCTAGTACCCACTAAGTTATCAATCTTGATTTACAATAGTATAAACCT